GGCAAAGGACCTAAATAGATACTTTTCAAAAGAGGACATAAAGAAGGCCAACACTGCTGGTGGGAATGCAGACTGGTGTAGCCACTGTGGAGAACAGTATGGAGTTTCCTCAAAAAGTTGAGAATGGAACTCCATTTGACCCAGTAATCCCACTTCTAGGACTATATCCCAAGAAACCAGAAACACCAATCAGAAAGGATATATGCACCCCTATGTTCATAGCAGCACAATTTACAATAGCTAAGATTTGGAAACAGCCTAGTGCCCATCAGCAGATGAGTGGATTAAAAAACCGTGGTACATCTACGCAATGCAATACTACGCTGCTGAAAAAAGAAGGAATTCTTACCATTTGCAACAGCATGGATGAACCTGGAGAGCATTATGCTAAGCGAAATAAGCCAGTCAGAGAAAGATAAGTACCACATGATTTTTCACTCATTTGTGGAATAAAATGAACAACATAAACTGATGAACAAAAATAGAGCCAGAGTCATAGAAACATCAAACAGACCATCCAATCTAAGAGGGAAGGCGGGAGGGGAGGTGGGGGGTGTAGGTAAGAGATCAACCAAAGGACTTGTATGTATGCATATGAGCATGACCAATGGACACAGACACTAGGGTGTTGAGGGCATGTGCTGGGGGGGTGGGAGCAGCTGGGGAGAGGTCAGTGGGGGAAAAGGGAGACATATGTAATACTTTAAACAATAAAGAATTTAAGTTTAGCCCTGGCCGGCTTGGCTCAGTGGATAGAGCATTGGCCTGTGGACTGAAGAGTCCCAGGTTCGATTCCTGCCAAGGGCACATGCCTGGGTTGCGGGCTCGATCCCCAGTAGGGGGTGTGCAGAAGGCAGCCTATCAATGATTCTCTCTCATCATTGATGTTTCTATCTCTCTCTCTTTCTCCCTTCCTCTCTGAAATCAATAAAGAAATATATTTTTTTAAAAAAAGAATTTAAGTTTAAAAAAACACACACAAAAAATAAATCATGAAAACTGCTGCTCTCAGCTAAATGTGTTTCCTTCCCTTTTTTGAAAGCCAGCAGCTATGGGATGAGTTCGCACTGATTAATTCAATAGGATAATTACTTCTGAAAAATTTAAAGTAGAATGAGATCACATTTTTTAGCTGTTAGCATCGTTTCGCTGAATTTTTGTCTTTCTTTACTGCCCAGAATTCTGTACTGTTTCCTCTCAAGGGAGGAGGAAACGGTGGGTGCTGTGCTGGTGGCGGTGGTGGTAGCAGCCTGACCTCAATTAAGTTACATTTCATCAGGAGGATGGAAGTGGTGAGGGGCCTCGTTAAGAGATCTTCCATGTGACAAGCACGGGGGTGGGGGAGGGGCATGGGGGGGGCTGTTTCTGGTTTGTGGTAACTTTAAAAAACATCTTTTAAAAATGTGCGTCCTCGCCCTAACCGGTTTGGCTCAGTGAATAGAGCGTCAGTGGACTCAAGGGTCCCAGGTTCGATTCTGGTCAAGGGCATGTACCTTGGTTGTGGGCACATCCCCAGTGGGGAGTGTGCAGGAGGCAGCTGATCGATGTTTCTCTCTCATCGATGTTTCTAATTCTCTATCCCTCTCCCTTCCTCTCTGTAAAAAATCAATAAAATATATTTTTAAAAATAAATAAATAAAAATGTGCGTCCTTCCCAGGTCTCCAAAAGCTGCCTGTTTGTGTCGACATTTGCTCAGGCGCTTGTTTCAATCCAGGGAAGAGTGTTCCTGGGAGGGAACAGCAAGCAAGGGTCCGGAAGTGGAAGGGCACCGGAGAAGGCGGAAAAGAAGGACCGTCAATGTGGCTGGATGGGGCCAGGGACAGAAAGTGGCCGGAGGGGTGGCCAGGGCCAGTTCACGTAAACCTGTCCATTCCTGGAATCGTTGTAGTATTTTCCTAACATTGCAAGTTAAGAGCGAATTTTGGCCTGGCCAGCATGGCTCAGTGGTTGAGCATCGACCTATGAATTAGGAAGTCACGGTTCACTACCTGGGTTGCCGGCTCTATCCTCAGTGTGGGGCGTGCAGGAGGCAGCTGATCAATGATTCTCTCTCATCATGCTTCTCTCTCTCTCCCCCTCTCCTTTCCTCTCTGATATCAATAAAAAATATTTTTTAAAAAGAGTGAATTTTGTCTTGAATTATCTCGGTAATCACCTCAATTTTCCATTTCGTTTTCCTTTAAACCTCTTTGGGACATCCTCCTAAGAGGATGGTTGTGAAATTCTTAAAGAATCCTAACCCCTAGTTGTTGCTTTCTTATGCTAACTCTTAAAATGAGTTACTCTGCATGTTAGCTTTTTCCAGACAGAATTGTAAACTGCAGCCATGGAGGAGCATACGGGCAGAGCCAACAGGAAATGAAACCCGCCACAGTTCAGAAGTCTGAAATAGTCGGGAAACTATTGTTAACCGGCCCTAGAAGCATTTCTTTCTCTTTTTTAAAAATTGATTTTGAAAGATCAAGAGTGAGAGCAAGGAACATTGATTTGTTGATTCACTTACTTATGCATTCATTGATTGATTTTGTATGTGCCTTGACTGGGGATGAACCTGTAACCTTGGTGTATGGGGCCGACACTGACCAACTGAGCTACCCGGGCAGAGTAGAAGCATGTTAAGCACTGGGTTCTTAGCTTGGGAATGAAATACATACATGTATAAACGGTAGCAAAGTTTCCTAGGTACTCATGGGTATTTGGGGGCAAATAAGTCTGAAGTTTTCATCACAGTCTCCAACAGGTCCAGTGACCCCCAAAATGTTAAGAAATACTGGTTTGCTCAAGGATGATGCTTTTCTCTTTAATTTCATGGTTTCCTTCCTCTTCCCATCCTTCAAATCCACAGCTGCACTGGGGCAACGCTGTCACCCAGGATCCTTGTAAAGTAATAGCCATGATTAGTTCACTCAACAAAGGCAGCAGAGAGAAGGGCAGGTGACGGCACCGGCTTCCCAGCATGGCTGGGAGGGCAGCATGGCTCCAATCAAGTGAAGCACAAAGCACAGTGCCTGGCGCGCAGCTGCTCTCCACACCAAGCAGTTGCTATCGATGGTAATAAATCATGGAGACGTGTTCGCTGTGTATCGTCTGTGGCACAGAGTTGCCTAGAGACCAGTATTCTAAAAGGGGAAACCAGGGAGGAAGAGAAGAAACATTTAGCTGCCCCGCCTCGGTGCCCACGCAGGCAGCCCTGATGCGTGTCCCCAGCACTTCTGGGGCAGAGGTCAAGGAACGTGGCCTTGGTCATTAGATGGGGCTCATTCGAGAAAGCCCCTCACCTGTGACTCCTACTAACCGCTGTGTGTCCCTGGCCCTGGGACAACTTATACACCCAAGTCTTGGGTGTGTCACTAGGAAAAAGGAAGGCATTTTAGCCCCGACCTCCTGAGATGGCTGTGAACACAGAAGGAAAGGGTGCCTCCCAATCGCCAGGGCATGGTCCTAGAAAGAGCAGCTGTTTTTATTTTTCTTCCCCAAATGAACTCGGTGAGGGGTTGAGTTAGTTGCCCCAAGAGATCACTGGTTTGAGAGTCTGTCTAAAGATCCTTGGGTTTATTCTCTTCTGTGTCTGATTTTCTGTCCTATTGGGGGCAACAAAAAATCTTGGAACCCATTCCCAGCTCTCACTTACTAGCTGTGTGACCTTAAACGAGTCATTTGATCTTTCCAGGCTTCTGTTCCCTCACCTGTAGACGGATTTGAACAGTACTTATCAGTTTCAGGGGCAGCCTGAGTGTGTGGCTCCTTTCTGAATGATTCTGTACTTTCTTTTGATTTATGGAGGAAATGACTATTGAGTCTGCCAAAGATTCTTCTAGGTGCTGAGGATGCAACAGGGAATATAACAAAGTTCCTACCCTCGTGGACTTTACAATTCTTGCGATTGGCATAAAAACAAACCGCAAGCCAATGAGAGAGCAACTGATTAAAGGGTTTAGTTTATTTTCACTCCCATTAGTTGCAGTAACAGAACATCATCTTAGAGCCCTGGAAGTTTTCGTATGCACATATTTTCTGTTCCCAAGTGGGAAATAGTTTCAGCTTTTTAATGCTTCACCTTGGCTAACCTGGTAACATCCAATTGTAACTTCTACCCTCCTTGCCGTGGGTAGGCTTTCTCCTAATATTTATAACTAATGGGACAAATAGAGATGGTCCAGAGCGTGAGAGCAGACAATCATGAATGTTAGCAGGGGTTTTGCAAGGGATTTGAGTTCTCCTTATAGATACAGTGCAGCCTGTCCCTTGGAAATACTATATGGTGTTCATGGTTGGTTGATGTCGGTCTCGGGAAAGGGCATTAAACATCAGTGTACCTTTCATAATCTTATCTGTCTGTTAACTCTACCAGCTTTTTAGTAAGTATTTTTTTCAGACTTCAGGAGGCTGTGAATGAAAAACATACGTGTCCAAACTGTACGCAAAGTGTGTATGTATATGTATACGTATATATGTATATATGTATATATACACACACATCTATATACAATATGCATGAGACTTTCAGAAAGTTCCAGGCTTTAGATAAAGGATCTTACTCCCCAGAATCACCTATAACATAATTTCACAGGATTTGCTGTGAGTGCTTAGGTCACAGTTGGTGCTCAACAAAGATGCCTTCTTTTTCTAAACAGATACATGTAAACTGAATAATAGATTACATTCATATGCATCACTAACTGCAATAAAAGCAGCCATTTCCCGCAAGGCGCTCACAGAGGCACACAGGCTAGAGAGGGACAGGAGCCAAGAGCAGGGTGCTCCTGAGTCTGCCGCGCCCCCGGGGCGAGGGCGAGCGATCACGAGGGTGCAGCAGAGATCCAGCGCCCACCAGAAAGCGGAAGGGGCGGGCCGCGGCGGGCGTGGGGGAAACACAGAGCACCCTACTTCGCCCAGCCAGCCTTAAGCAGCCCATGCTGCGGGGCCACGCCCAGCGCCTAGCGACGCTCTCCATGGCAACCGAGACTTGGCAACGGCCCACCCCGCTGCGTCAAGACAGGCGTGTTGCGTCATAGCGGCGCGCCGGAAGTGACTTAAGCAATCGCCAAAGACTCCGGAAGTTGGCTCTGTCCGGGACTGTTGTTGTCTCTGACACCCGTCTTGCGATGGGTTGCGACGGGGGAACAATCCCCAAGAGGCACGAACTGGTGAAGGGGCCCAAGAAGGTTGAGAAGGTCAGTGACGGGGGCCCGGTGGGGACTGGGGTTGGCGGGGCCCCCGGGGAGCGAGGAGAGGTGGGGGTGGGGCCAGCGGGTTCAGACGCAGCTGCACTCATCCCTTGTGGAGAATTCAAAATTAAAACAGGATTAATAAGGGACCTTTATTGCGTGCTTGCTATTGCCACTCACCCGGAAGTACCCTAAATATGGGGTGTCTCTTGCAATTCTCACATCGGTCCGTACTGTCATCATTCTCACTGTGCAGACATGGAACTTGAGAGTGAAAAGGAGAAAGTTGCGACGCTAGTGACAGCGCCAGGGTTTGAAGCCTGTCTGCCGTCGTAACAGTGACGCGAATGGGTACTGTTTATCGGGCTTTGTATACACTAACTCATTTCTCAGGGCAGTCCTCCCAGAACGTCCCCTTATCCCCGTGAGGCAGGTCCTTCTTAAAACCATACCGCCCCCTGTACACCGCGTTCATGACTGGTTGACATCGGTCTCGGGGACAGTGAGCTTCCGGTGGCAGTCTGTTCCTTCTACCGCTCTGTAAGTAGCACAGTTCCTAGCACACGAAAAACAATATATAGAATTCCTAATTCTCACAGGTAATTGATCAAATCATATGTCATTTCCATGCTACTGACAGGGGAATTGAGTCAGTAACATGACCAAGATTTCACATCCCGTGGGTAATGGAACCAAGATTCCCATTCATTTGCTCAGGATTTCAAAGTTAGGCCTAGTCATTGCTTTTTGATAGTAGAAGGCTCAGGCAGTGTTTGACTTGTGCTCCACTACAGTGCGAATTTTGATAAAAGCTATTTAAATTGCCAACGTGTAGCTTTGGATCCGGGGTATGGATAGAGTAACAGTTGCGGGAATGTGGGTTTGAAATAATAGAGTGGTGATTAAAAGCATGGTCTCTGGAGCCAGCCCGTTCTTATCCCAGCTCCTTCATCTATTTGCTCTGTGACCTTTTGGTGCCTCACTTTCCTCAGGAACAAAGGTAAAAACACTGAATCATAGGGTTTTTATGAGGATTAAAAGATTAAGTTACAGAAACCGCTTAGCACAGCAGACACAGTTGTTGCTTCAAAAAATCAACTTTAAGGGAATGTTTTTATTTTTCTATTTCTCTTTTCTCCCAAATATGCCATCTTGTTACATTATTCAGGTTTGGCATTTTAGGAGGGGGAAAGAGTGGGACATGGGATATTATATAGGTAAAACTATCATTAAAAGGGTATGGTCTTACGTCTGCATTTTCATACTGTGGTTAAGGATTTGATATGCCCCCTGGTGAACAGTCTGCAAAAAACACTTCGTTAAATTGGTGATTTTATGCAGAATTAAATAGTCTTTGTGCTAAATTTATAAATAATAATGCCTGTCTTCTCAGTTTTCCATCCTTATATTCTGCTAAAACTTTGGAGCCTTTCCCATTGTTAGAATTGAAACTGGACTGTTTGCTTTTTCTGGATGGCTTCCCTAACTTACTGTTAAGATGCAAATATTAATATTTATATGTAGCTTACATAGGCAATTTAATAATTCGAGGTAAACTGTTTTGTCGTAGGTGTCGTGTTTACAGGGGACTTTATTTCACATAGTATTGATTACTGTGACTTTTTAAATCCCAACTTTTGTGTCATTATCTTTATGAAATCCAAAAATCATCATAGTGTGATATTACTGAATAAGCCTTTATGTGGAGATCTGTGGATCGTGTCTTTCAGAGGTGGAAATTAATTAAAAAGATTTTTTTTTCTCTTTGTAGGTTGACAAAGATGCTGAACTGGTGGCCCTATGGAACTATTGTGCTCTAAGTCAAGAAATACTAAGGCGACCAATAGTTGCCTGTGAACTTGGCAGGTATAGTTCCTTAATTGAGATGAGTTTTTATTAAATGATTTTTAAAAGAATTTTAATGTGTAAATGCAGTTCTTGATTCATCAAATGTGAATTACCACAAGCAAATTTGTGAAACCTAGGTTATCATTCCCTGTGAACATAATTCTGTACAAACTTGTTCAATTTGGTTTATTTAATCCATGGATTGAAAGCTCGGAGATTAATAGCTGAGTTATAAACATAAACGCATGAAGGAGCCATGTGGGGAATGGTGGGAACAGGGGAAACTGGAGAGTTCATGTCCTATCTACAGGGATAGCTGCTACTCAGTTCCAGCCAGTTGTAGTTCAAGAATGTGAGCCTAGTAGTTCTAGAACTTCTGATTTTCTGTTTTCATCCAGGAAAAGTTGAAAATATGTACTTTTATATTAAATTTCCCAATTTTTGAAATCCTTGTTAAGGTCACATTCAGCACTCAGACTGCCAGTTTGAGCACTTGATTTTAAACTAGTTTCTTTCTTTATATGCTCTGGAAATAGTTGAGAGAGGATTAAACTTACCTTTTGAGTAAGGCTGGGCATTTCTGTTATCAAATGTAAAATGACTTTGGATTGTACTCAATTTAGTCTTCGTCCTTTGTGTGAAGGTTAATTGTTGCCAGAATGTTTTGACTAATCTTTATTGTTGCAGACTTTATAACAAAGATGCTGTCATTGAGTTTCTACTGGACAAATCTTCCGAGAAAGCTCTTGCGAAGGCAGCGTCTCACATTAAAAACATTAAGGTAACACAGGTGATTTTGGAGTGCTCCAAGGGTCTCTGTGGTTGAGGTTTATCTTATAGAATTCACGTACATTATAGACTGAACTCAAATATTTGGGATTTCAATCCCACCCAGCCAGCTAATAAAGGTGTGATTTTGGGTGGTCACTTAACGCTTAAGCCGGAAGGTCCCACACCTATACTTTCTGCATTATAAATTTGTTATGATTTAATATGCATGGAAGAGCTTTGAAAACTCTCAATGTGCCCCAGCCGGATTGGCCCAGTGGATAGAGCATCAGCCTACGGACCAAAGGGTCCCGGCTTCAGTTCCAGTCAAGGGCACGTACCTTGGTGGAAGGCTCCTCCCCAGCCTGGGCCCTGGTTGGGGTGCATGCAGGAGGCAGCCAATCATTGTGTTTCTCTCTGTCTTTCCCTCTCTCTTTGACTCTTCCTAAAAATCAGTGGAAAAATATCTTCGGGTGAGGATTAACAAAAACAAAAATATTTTTTTAAAAACCTCTCAGTGTGCTGTATAAACATTGGGATGCCTTATTTTTGTAGTTATAACTCAGCTACTTGAATTTTTTATTTGAAAGACACTTTTATAGAATTAGAGAATTTTATAGGTAGACCACTGTTAAATCATTGTGGTTATCTCTTGCTGACTAGAAGTTCTGATTGGCAGTTAAAATTCTTTCATGAAAGTGGAAAAACAAGGTTTGTAGTAAAGAAAGTTTGTTGAGAGGACAACATTTTCAAATTTGGTCAGTGGGAGAAAAATTAGAAAAGTAGCAAAGCATTTGAGAACCATCAAGCTGTCAAACACTTTGGCTCACCCTCACTATAAATACCTCCTGAGGCACATGGCCAGTTAGTGAGGCTAAACCAGGACCAGAGCCCCTGACTCCTCATCTAAGACTTTGGGTATTTTCTTTTAGTCTCTTTGTTTTTAAATGTTTTATTATTATAGTAGGCTTTTTGTTTGAATTCTTGGAATGATTACAGGATACGGGATATGTTTATTTCAGGCAAATCAGTAATTTTGAAATGTAGCTAATCATAGTGATACAGAAATAACCATGCTGATTTTTGTCATCTTTTGCTTTAGGAAGAGTATGCACTTCTAAAAGACCCATGATAACATAATTATCTCAAAAATGTGATTCTCATTGAAATTTATTTATACAGTTCTATACTAAACCAGTATTCAATGTATGTGCTTGAACTTTTCATTTTAATTCTCAAAAAAACCCTCTTCCAAAAGTCTGAACTGTAAAGACAAAGTGATTCAAATAAAGCAATGCACACGTACAAGGTTGTCATTACTGTTAGCCAATAGTCCACAAATGCCCAGAGCAGAGAACTTGATGGGGCACATCTCTGCTGTAAACTAGGACACCGACTGCATGGTGGCTTTCCTGCTGAGGTGCTCACTGCTCTCCAGAGTGTTGAAAACAGTGGTGCAGTTAAATGTGGAAAATGCTTCAAGTGCTAAAGTTTGGCTAAGTCACTCCTTGTAAAGTTGAATTTTTTGAAAACCTGAATGGCTAGGTCTTGGAATATGAGGGTATTCTCTGGCTAATATTTGCCGTGGATTCATTAGACCATGGCCTCAGATTTTACTGTCTCCCCAGCTATGGAGTAAACATGGTAGTCAGTGATACAGAATAGCCTCAGTGAGGATTGACACTCAGGAAAAAAGAGTCCTTTCTGGATGAAATTACTATAAAGCTTTCTCTTTGTGGAGTAATTTTGCATGTCAGAAGTTACTTTTCCTTAAATAGTAAATGTTTGTGAAATAGAAATTAACTAACTTATTTGCTAGTGAATTTTAAAAATCATGTTTTCTGTCACAATTTATGATTTAATTTTATAGCCATGTTAATTGATGGCCACAGGAAAGTAGGTAGGGAAAAGAGGTTTGAATGGGAAGGGATTAGAATAACAATTTCTCTGTTTCAGCGGTTCTCAATCTTTGGGTTACGACCCCTTTGGCGGTCGAACGACCCTTTCACAGGGGTCGCCTAAGACCATCCTCTATATCAGATATTTACATTACGATTCATAACAGTAGCAACATTACAGTTATGAAGTAGCAACGAAAATAATTTTATGGTTGGGTCACAACATGAGGAACTGTATTTAAAGGGCCAGAAGGTTGAGAACCACTGACTTAGGTGGTATTAAGGGAAGGGTGATCCACTTATCAAATGAATTCTTAAAATATGTATGGTTTTTCACAGAATGTGACAGAACTAAGGCTTTCTGACAATCCCGCCTGGGAAGGGGATAAAGGAAACACAAAAGGAGACAAGCATGATGACCTCCAGCGCGCACGTTTCATCTGCCCGGTCGTGGGCTTGGAGATGAATGGCCGACACAGGTCAGTCTGCTGAAGTGACACTGGTGCTGTAGGGTTCGTGCCTCGGCCTGGTGATCACACAGACTCTGTAAGGTGCTCTTCGGTTTGGATGGTTCATGCCCTGTCAGCCAAGTCCACTGATGTGGCGTCCAAATGCACTCACCTTTGTTCTCGAGAGCAGGAGAACCTGCAGTAAAGAGGGATTTTAAACATTTCTCTCGTGATGCTTTTTTTAAAAAATATATTTTTGTTGTTTCAGAGAGGGAAGGGAGGGAGAGAGAGATAGAAACATCAATGATGAGAGA